CAGCTTAGTGACGTCTGCAAGCTCACTGAGGATATAGTCAATCCCCTCGTCCAAGTCATTGATAAAGATGTTAAACAGGATTCACCGTAACACTGAGCCCTGGGGAACAATCTTCAGTCCTTTTTCAATGGCTAAAACTAATAGGGTGTTTGGTATTGAAGATAGTGTAATATTGAAGTGAACCAAAATACAAAATTTTTAACTGTTAAGGAAGTTTAAGAGATAGCACATGGTTAGTGTATTTCTAGGAAGACAAATGATGAACTTGTCAGATATTTTTCCCAGTCTAGAAGTCCTGACCATCTCATTGCAGTAACATACTCCATCTTAGCAACAGTTGCTATGTAGCTTTTTAGGCTATGCTGGTACCATTTTAAGACATTAAGTTTCCTGCTGATTCACCTCCTACGCTTGTGAGACTTGACTGTGTAGCTTAGGACTTCCATTTTACATAGAAAAATGATTAGTGAAGGTTTTATTGAAAGGGTGTTCACAGAGTTAGAAACTACCATCAGCATAGCCACAGAGGAAATGAGGCTTGTATTTTGTGGCTTTTTAGTGTGGATGATTTGTTCTTATTAAGCAGGAAAAAAGATGACAGTTCTGGCCATATATCATAAAACCAAAAATAAGCTGTATAAAAAACCTTATAGCACTGCTGGTGCTACACCAGGATAAATATAGAGCAACTAGGAACCTTTTAGTGTGGGGAGCTAAGTGTGCATTCAGGCTTGCAGCTGGTTAAAGCCTTGGGAGGCAGACTGGTCTAACAAAGCAGCCAACACCAGCCAGTCTCTGCAGCATCCTGCAACTTCTCTGTCACTTTGTTGATGACTGTTTTCTTAGAGCTGCAGTAGAAAGGGTCAAGTGGTGGTTTATTTCTTTTGTTTTCCTGTATAGCTAGTCTGTCTTGCTTCCTTAATCAGTTAGTGCTTTTTTGGTGTTTGATAGATCTTGTATTTTTTGTTTTCCTCCTTCTAGTGCTGCCTGGAAGTTAGAGGGGGCTTAGTGAATTTAGTGGTCACCTGTCAGGACCTTCCAGTCGGTGTACAGCTAATGCACACATGTCTTGGTGAGCTTTACCATGAGAGCCGTAGCCTTCGCGTTGCATGGCTTAGCAACAGTTGCTATGTATGATTACCTCTCTAGGCTGCACTGATACTGCTGGAAGAAATACAAAACCTCTTCCAACTTCTACAGTAGACATTTTCCTGCTTAAATAGCATATGTTTCTGGATTCTCCCCCCCCTTCCTTTTCTTCTTCTGTCCTCACTTCCCACACAGTAGTACTGAGAGTTATTAAAAAAAAAAAAGGAAAAGATGAAAATCTTTGGCAGTTACTTTTAATGGCTTTGTGCTCTGCTGATGCTGTGATCCTCTTTGTGTATGAGATAATGTTTTACAAGCACTTAACCACACTTGATAAACATTGACTTAAAGATGTTTCTCCTTGAGAAACTCCTTTAAGTGTTATGCTGATTGTTGTTTACTGGTATTCTCCAGTGTTATTGCTTAAGTTGAAGAAAAATGAAAATATGTGTAGCTTCAGACATGCCTCACTGAGGTTTGCTAGCTATCACATTGCACTGCAGGTGTAAGGCCTGTGTCTGTTGCAATGCTTGCTGTCTCACAAATGATGAAGCTGCAATGAAATGCTATTTGTAGATGTGTGATTGTTGTGACCTCCTTTTCTAGAGGAGAGCTACAACCTGTTTTGGGCTCTGACAACACTTTATGTCAGAATGGCATAATTTGTAACACTTAGTGTCAGCTATTACGGAACAAATAAGCATAAAAAAGAAAAGATGGCTCCCTCTGTCCTGAAGATCTTTGTATTGTAAGTGTGTGGTGAGACAGGGAGAGAAGAGATGAGAACAGGGAGGTGGTGGGGACATTATGTGGAGCAGTTCTTGCAATCTATGGTCACTGCACACAGATTGACTTGTCATTTTTGAGGCTTTTATATGCATTCTGCTATAGGGGACTTGTGAAAAGGGCTTTGCATGAATGTAATTCAGCTTTAGATTTTAGTAGGAATTGCTTATAAATAAGGAATAGGATGTGAGAAATTTGGAGGGGTTGGAAGAGCTGAAGGGTGGAGGTTCGTGATGTTTGCTTGGGGGGCAGCAGCTTTACACTGGAAACTTGGCAGGAACTTGGACCCTATTTTGGCATTGTTTCTTCACTGAAACTTATACTAGGTTGAAGCACTTTTATGGCCATGAAACGTAACTATTTGGCCTGGAAAAGTACTATGAATTGTACTGAAGAGTGTTTCTTTTTGCTGTAGAGAGATCTCAATGGAGAAAGAGGGTTTGGGACATAACCTTATGTGGTCTAGATGTAAAGCTTGTTGATGTGAAGGTCCATATTTATAAGAATTGTGTGCTGAAGGGCTAAGATTTTGTTTTAAGTGGTGTTGGTTTATAATACAGCTCTGTAGTTTTAAAAGTTGTGCCTGGCATGAGAAAATATATCTTGTGAGCAGGTGTATCTTAAAAATAAAAGTTCTTTCTGATAATGGTGTGTTAGTCAGTATGTAGATAGTTGTAATTTGGGTTGCTGCAAAAGCAGTCACATTACCTTAAAAAAACCCCCAAATCTTTGGAGGAGGTTACACCAGATCAGTGGATTACTGCAGTCCAGCTGTAAGAACAGTAACAGTGCAGGGTATTTGTGCCCTTAAAATGACAATGCACTAAGATAATCACTGCAGCATGGCCATGGTTGCATTTTTTTCTGGAGACCACAAAATTGCTAATTTAGTGTTCAAGAGGGAGATAGCAAATGCTTGAAATCTGTCTGGCTTTTCCCTGTAGGAGAAATAGGAATTGGAGATTACAATATGTAGATGTTTGAGTTGAGAAATGTAAAACAACTGTTTGTTTCAGTGGTGTTAGCCCATATAATTTAGTTTAAACACAGAAGACTAGGTTGAGTATGGAAGTATCTGTAGGGAGTGAAAGGGAGAACTTGATCAAGGGAAATTGTTGTTGCCACACTTGACTTGTGTTATGTCATTATTCATGCTGAGCTGCTTATTTTCATAGCTATTTATGATTGAAATTTCTGGTTTGAAGGTTCTTAATCTGGTGACATTGCAAGAACTGAATTTTCACTTTTAATGTTCTTAACCTCCTTTTGAATTTCTGTTGGTTGCTAACACTTGTATTTTGATTATATGAAGTAAGAAACTAGTAGATTTGCCATTGCATGTGGAGAATATTCACTAAAGGATACTGGATTCAGTTTAAATAGCTGAAGACAAATTTGGTTTTGAAGGTTCTTTTAAAAAAACAAACAACCAAACAAACAAAACCAAACAAGCAAACACAAAAAAAGGTTGATCTTTGACATTGTACTTGGTTTAAGAGTTGAGTGCAAACAAGGTCAGGAGAATGGCTGGGTTTATGACATCTTATTGTTCACCAGTTCAGACTTCAAGGATTGGATTGCACAACCTCCTGTATTTTGCAGACCATTAAACCGCAGCCAGTGTCCTGATGTGTTGAGCATAACTTTTATTTTCCTATTTGTTTGACCCTTAACAAAAGTTATTAAAGTGTGTGAAAATGTTATAAGGGGCCTCAAACAAGAATGCACTCGAGGACATGATTTTTGTAACTGTGACTGCTGCCTGCCAGTGCCCTGCTACATCTTAGTACTTTCTGAAGGACTATAGATAAACCTGCAAAACATTGGTTGAGACCAAGGTAAGGGATCTGAGGAATCTACAAATAAGAGTTAAGGTCTCAGGAAAGACCATATATAGGAGAGACCTGGAGTTCAAGGAAAGGACATTAAGTGCCTCTTCAGAACTACTAGGGACCACCAGAGCACCAAAAGACCCCTTGTATGCAAGTGCAGTTTGATCTAAGAATGATTCAGCAGGTATTTAAGTGTATGTTAATTATATTTAAACTGCTACCAATCACTGCGATTTAGATTATGTAATCCTAAAACTTTTGTGTATAAATATGCCAAGAAAAGGGACATTAGTTTTGCGTGTATGGATAGATTGAATGCCTATGCACCTGACATCGAATAAAGGATGCCTGCTTCTTAATGCTACCTTGGTGTTAAGAGGTTTTTTTATTCCTGATTTTGGTGACAAAAAGCACTAAACCAAAGTGTGCATTCTTTGTTGAGCTGTAGCCACAGGATGGGAGTGAGGGCTGAGTTTCTGAAGGTACGTGCTTCTAGTTGACTGATGACTGGACGTCTGAGTGTCTGAACAGAGCAGATGAACTTTCCATTGCTTTTGCAGATAAATGGAAGTTTTAGGGTTTTTTTAAGTAGCAAAATTGTCATTTGCAAACTAAGCTGCACAAGAGTGATTTGTGATTTGATAGGCTAACGTGAGGGTACTTGTTGAGAGAAACATGTGGAGCACTAGGCTTATCTTGAAAGACATGTTCATGCTTAGGTACTCAGTGTAACCTTCTTCAATGACTTCTAGTCTTCCTGGTGCCCCCTTAGAGGTACTTGATGGTGTATTACCCCTGACTTCACTCTTCTGTTTTGGGTTGCTGGTACCATCCTGCCTTGTGCTGACCTGAGGTTTACTTCTGTTTTCAAAGTGCCTTTGCTGCTTCAGTGTGTGTAGATGAGCTTGTGGCCCCCAAAGCCAGCAGAGATCTAGCAAGTGTTGTTCGCTTTGCCTCCATTGTAGCTTAGTTTCACACATTTCTGGGGAGCTCCTGTTTCTGGGATGACCTTCATTGGCAGTGTTTTCCAGTGATTTCTCTCATGCTCTCTGTTTTCTTTGAGTCATCCTTACCTCAGTAGTGAGAAGAAGGAAAGCTATGTAGTACATAATATTTTGTATTACTGAAGCATGTTGGTATTTATCTGTTTTCCTCATGTTAAAATAGAAAGTAGAAAAAGTTATTTTTGTGTCTTCTAAAAAATAACACACGCACACACCCCAAATCCCGCCTATGTGTTGCTTTAGAAACCTTTCATTTCAGTAAGAATTAATGTAGTCACCTTCTTTACAGATGATGACTTTGATCAGTTTGATAAGCCTGGTGCAGAAAGGTCTTGGAGAAGAAGAGCTGGAGATGACGACTGGGACAGGTAGGTAGAAACTGAACATGAAAATATTCTGTATGCTGAATTACATTGCTCTGTTTTCCTGTTCTGGCATTTTGTATTCTGACATTTAGAGTAGCGCATCTTTAGATACTAATGAAGATGTTGGTTGTTATGCATATGTCAGCTGAAGGTAAACTGTGCCAAACATGTACTTGCCTTGAGGAATATAGAGAGCACTGTGAAGAGATACCATTTACAATTGGATAAAGACAAAGTATTTGTGGTGTGTAATTAACTTGCAGTTAATGTCCTGGTTTTACTTTTAAATATTTAGTAGATCTCATTGGTTTAAGTAGTTAGGTTTTTGCTAGTGCCTGAATTTGTCCAATTTAAGGCGGTTTTTTTTTCCTAACTAGATGTTTAAATTCTTATCCTCAAAGTCCTATCAGTCCTGTCAGCTTTACATTGGAGGAGAGTAATGGAGCTTAGGTATGGGCTTCTAGTGAAAAATATTGTTGTAAAGATAGAGAAATATTTATGAAGTTGGTTAATTTGGGGGAGAGTAAGAGCATGTTCTTTTATGTGAAGGCACTCTAGCTGGGAAAGACTTGAATTGAGCTGATGGCTGGATTTATCCATTCTTTCTAGGAGAAAATATTTCACTTTTTGTGGGGTTGCCTTTTTTGTTATTCTTTTTTAGTAACAGAGAGACATGTTCAGACTTTGCCAGTGATTTTCACTGCAGAAAGGAGAAAAAACAGCTATTCCAAATAGATTCTTATCTTTTGTAATAATCTTTCAAATGGTTGTAGTAAACAAATTTTACCCTAAGTAGTTTTCCACTGAGCTGAGCCCTTGGAGTGAATCAGCTGCTCCACATTTATCATCATTCCTGAAGGATTAGTTTCCTCTTCTGTGCTTTTCTGCTAGGTTAAGTGAGTAGTGTTCATTGCTCTAGGAGGTAAGAGGAATTTGGACAGTAGCTTCAGTGTACAGGGTAAGGTGTCTACTCTGTCATGCCAGCAGACCTCTTTGTGGATTGGATGGTGAACTGCATTGAGGAGCTGATCTGGTTTGATAATGTAATTGAAATAACTTGTTCAGGTTGGGTCACTGTACTGTGCTGCCTCCCAGGCCCAGCTCTGGGTATTCAGAAATACTGAAGCCAGTATTAGAGGCAAAATGCTTTGATTTAGATTATATTCTGAACTTTTTGCCTTTGCTGACTTCATGACATGAATAAGTAGATTCTTAGATGCTGGCTGGTCACGTTTGTTTTTAGCTGTCCCACTCTTATGGCTTCAGAAAATTTGGAAGAGTCAAACAGCTGTTGTATCAAAAACTGTAAGTTTATTGCAATAAAACTATTTTTATAGGACTTGAGAAAGGTTACAGTGTATCTCCACTAAGCTGAGAAAAGAATTCACAAAAGAATTCAGGTTTAGAAAGAAGTTTTTGTTTGTGTGTATTATTAGCTGCATGTAATTTAAGAGAGATGATTAAAAGTCATATTGTTTATTCTTTAGTGAAATTGTAAGGGAAGTGGTTTCAGGTGCAGTGCTGGATATTCTAGAGTTTCATCTTGTTGATAATTTCAGAAAAATAAAATTACCTGTATCTACTAGAATATTATTTGCATGTGTTGGATTTAAAAAAGTTATTATTAATCGTTTTTAGATCATCACGCTGTCTTTGGAAGTGTTAAGTTCTGTGGGTGTCTGGGCAATTACAAATGTAATTACAGATGTAATTGCTTGATTTTTTTTAAACCACTGGCCTCATTTAGTACAGGACATAGTTTCTTGAAGATGGACAAAAGGCTGAATGAACACAGACTTGTTTGGTTTTCTTAATTCTTCATGCTTAGTTTTGCAACCTAAATCACGTTTTTGTGGGGGAGGTGGAAAGGGATTAGGTTCTCTTAGTCATACATTTTGATCAACCATCATCTCTTACTGTGTTGCTACTTAACTGAGTCATGTCCCCTTGTCATTAAAATAATTTTGAATTTCCAGATCTCTACTTTCTCAAATACTGGAGGGTGAGAACTGAGAGTTGGAAAGCCCCTGTTATTTGGCAGTACAAATGTAACATTGTTCTTGGAGAATTTTTTCCATTACATTTTTTACAAATTCTTTTCCTGAAACACTTGTGTCCTTGCTACTGCTCATGTTTAATGGGGCATGCACATGAAATTGAGGCCAGAAAGGGCCAGTCTAATGTCTTTATCATGGGCTGTTGTTTTATACATTTATCTCTGAGTAGCCCAAAGCTTGGGTTTGGGAAAAACATGCAGTTCTGGTGCTATCCTGTGAGATGACAGGGCTGATTTAGTAGTTGACTTTTGCTGAAATTCTCTTGTTCTGACCCTTCTCTGAGATTATTCATTTCTACACTGGAAGAAAATGTCACACTTTTTCTTGTCTGTCTTTTTAAATAATATTTTATCTTTCTCATTTGGTGAGCTGAATTTATTCAGTGAGGGGAATGTTGAGTTGAGGAAGGGAAGGAAATGGCTCTGTCTCTTGTGAGAGCAGTGAACTCTTAGATTATTTTAACCCTGATTTCCTAGAATTGTGGTTTTGGAAAGACCTTTGTGCCTTGATAGTGAGGGTGAGTTGCCTTTGGAACTATGAGACGTGTACTTTTATTCCAATTGAATTTATTTTATGTGGCTTTCATGATATCAGAATGCCACTGTTCCTTTTTGTTTGCTTTTCTCAGCTTAAGATCTTTTAGTATCTGGTGATTTTTTTTGTCTTTTTTAAGTAGTCAGATCTGGTAATTCTGGTCCCTCTTCTTTCTGATTGATAACACATTTGGCTATTTTAAAAGAAGCTCAGGACAGGTCCACTTTACTGTGCAGTCTTTTCACTGTTACTTTGTTTATTCAAAAAGTTACCAATGGTGATTTTTCTCTTAATTTATCAATTAAAGTATTGAATAACGTTGAATATTTTAATAGGTTTTGAGGGCTATTTTGTGAAACACTTTTGTTGAGTTTCATTTGTGTGCCAGTACTAACTTATTTTGACTGTCAAGTAATAAGCCAAAGCTTTTAAAAAAGATCTAGAATATGTATGCAATTATTTCTATTGTCCAAATGCTTAATCTTTTTTTAAAAAAAAAAACGTGTCAATGATGTTTTTAGTAATACGTTGAATAGCCCTATGTTTAGATAATTAATTGAATCTTTTGCTTTTTTTTTTCCATTCCTTTTTGATCTTAATTTCTTACTGTCTGAACTTGCTTTTCATCTTTGAATGCTGCTGTAATAAATACTCTTGCCACCTTTTGGAATTTCTCTAGCGCACTTCTATTAAAAGCTGTCAGTGGTGGACCATAGTACTGGGAAATATTTTCAAACCTTTAGGTGCATTTGTCAGATTTCTGGCAGCTGAAGAGATTAGTGACTTTTTCCTATTTCAGTTCTGGCTCTAAATTTTTTAACCATTTCTGTTATGTAGAGTTTTCTGTCTCTGAAATAAAGGCTTAAATTCTAATCAGTTTGCTCTCTGGAATGTATGATATGTCTTATGTCCTAATTTTTGTTTAGTATTGCAGCGAGCACAAAACAATTGCTATTTGTTAATGTTCAGTCATTCCTGGAACTGTTTGACATCAGTAACTATGGACAAATACTGTGTACTGATGATAACGTCCTATTTAGGGCTGATTTGGAATATTGTCTGTTCTCTTCTAGCCCACAAGATTTTTATTCCCCCCCCCATTATTTGTACAGTAACCAGCTCAGAGAGAAGTGTCCATCTGCAAAAACAACTCGTAGCACTGATTTATGTCTTGGGATTGCCTCCCCATTTTCCAAGACTTCCTATGTAGTCCTAAGGAGCTCTTGTACATATTGCTTCTGTTTTCATATAGCCCATTCTCACTTTGGGTAATTTATTTTTTATGTAGTATCTAAGGCATGGAGTTGTAGTTTTGTTGTTGCTGCTGCTGCTGCTGTTGCTGTTTTTGTGTGGGTTTTTTTTTCAAGGTGTATAGGTAGAAATAGTCTCATTCTTGAATTACAGCTCATATTTCTAACCATCGGCATCTCATTTTAGTTTTAAGACATGCATGTTCTAATACAGGCATTTGTCACTAGTACATGCTTATCATAGAAGGTAGAATCTGTTTATTCCTGTCACTAGATAATTCTTTCACTGAAGGAAGAATGAGATTAGTTAAGCTTTAGGACAGCTGCTTAATCTGAACTGTAGTTCTTTGTGTTGCATCCTTTTTAAGGGACAGATGCTATGTGATGGCAGAAGTTTTGTAAGCCAGGTATTTCTATGCTTCCTGAATTCTTAGCCACACTTATAAAAATTGTGAAACATGCATTTGATTTTGTTATCTTACAAATGTCTGTTTGACCTTACCTTCATCTTGAGGAGGAGGAAATAAAGTATTTATGAAAGATGTATGCCCAAGTGGCTCCTAGGCCAGCTGGCCTCCCAGTGCCTCCTTGCTCAAGTGCATCTTGGGCCATGTGGTGACCTGTAGACTGAGTCTTGCCCAGAGGACATTACTGTCTCACTTCTTCCCTGGCAAGGTGGGAAACAGTAGTTTGGGCAGTATGCCCAGATGGCTGAAAGTGAAGGATCTGGAGTGGAGACCTGTGCTTTGTCTGGTTTAATGTGCTTTGTTATAGTTGGAGGGATATGGAAAGGAGAGCATATGAAAATGAAATGACCGTGCAACAATGGTCTTGCTCAATATGTATGCTCTGTTGTTTCATTTAAAAGATATATAACTCCTTTTTCAATTTGCTGAATGCTTTGCTGAAGGAAAGCTTTGTGCAGACTCGGTGACAATTCTCAAGTTAGATTTTTAAGGCGTATACCCAATACGATGCTTGTTTCTGTTTTCTGTGGTTCAACTTCTTAAATTTGTTAATGTTTTTCAGTGAACTTGATGATGACTTGCTTGGAGAGGATTTGCTAACCGGCAAAAAGGTAAGAGATGTGCATTAGAGCGAGTTGTTACAGATATAAAAATGTTAATGCTGTTCAACTTGCCCACTTCAGTGGTCTAGTATAGCCTTTTATGTATTGTAGAGGCACTTCCCCAAAGCCAGACAGCCACAGGTACCTGAGATCTGCGTTGTTGCCAGAGTGCTCTGCACCCAGAGTTCTGTTTCATTTTGTGAATTATCTCCAAGTATGGCTTTTTAAAATACAACTTTTAGAAAAATACTTTTTTCTGAAATAGTATTTATTCTCATATCACATGGTTCAAAAAGGAGAATGTTCTCAAAATCAGTTTCTCTATAGCTCATATTGACTTAACAATTAAAAAAACCCCCAAAACACTAAAAGAATTAGGCCTCATGAGTGCTGATTAGCATTCTGGGTTATCCACTTCAACTGCCGGTTTCCTGGCTATTAAAAGTTACTCATCAAAATACCAGCAGTATTTACCAGAGAGTAAATAAAAAAAGCAATCAGTGGTGTCTTACAGATCCACTCACTGCACACAGTCCACTCCTACTTTGATGAGTAGGCAGAGGATTTTCCCTTCTGTAGTGAGGGAAGAATATGGGAGCAGCCAGCATTGGAGAACATAAACTAGTCCCTCCATGTCTCCTATAGACTCCTCGCTCTGATACCTGTTTCCAAAATTGAACTCTATGAAAATAATTAAATATATGTTTGGGTTTGTCAGATATCTGGGTGAAGACAGAGCTTCTGTTTGGGAAATCAGAACAGCCTTGTCACCTCTTCCTTTACTTTTTCTGCTGAATGAATTCATTTAGGAAATAGTTTTTAAAGTTTTAGTATCTCTGCTTTCTAGAAACTGCAGTAACATAGTGGATTTTCTTGAATTATCTAATGGTCATGAGACAGTGTACTAAAGCTGACCTTCCTTTCCTTCCTTTCCACTTCTTAAGTGTGTTGTCATCTTGGGCTATATTTGGGAATATGTCAGTGAAAGGTGTTAGTTGCTAGGCAAATCTGAGTTTTGTCAGTTTCTGTAAAACCATTCAACATTTATTTTTAGATTTGTTGTCTTCTGTAGCATATTTTTTTCTCATTGAATTAGGTAATTTCATTGGAGATACGGTCTTAGTCTGGGGTATGTTCTTCATAAAAAATACCGTGCATTCAGAAGTTTCAGTAGTTTCAGTACCTAGTTAAAAGTTTCTCTCTTTTTTTTTTTATGGTCATGATTGACTTTTTCTGAAACCTAGAATCAGTCGGACTTGTCAGATGAAGAGCTGAATGATGACCTTCTGCAAAGTGACAATGAAGAGGAACAAGAATTTCGGTATCTTTTTTTTAATCCTGTAGTTTGGATAACTCAAAGCTATTAATGACTACTGCTACTGATAATTAGTAACTGCTAAACTGAAGTTATTGGTACATACTTAAAATAGTTTTGCTTTTTACCTAGCTGGCTACTTGATGATATATAATGTGTTCAGTAGCATTGTAACATTTCAGTAAAATGATTTTTTGTTTATTTGAATGTAATAAATTTAACTCAACTCTATTTAAAAAAAGCTTATAAAGAAGAAACTGTCATTTAGAATTATTTGTAAGTACTTACAGAGCTCTTGTTTTTCTGCCATCTTTCTTTTAAAAATATATCCTTACTCCTACAGTCCCGATGAGGGGAGCTTCATCATTTTAAGGCTTGATTTGTGACTTAAATATTTGCGTACATAGCAGAAAAATCTGTACAAGTTTTAAAGGCTTGAGCAGGTGCTTCCATGGGAGCTCACTGAGGATCCTGCCCTGTGAATACTCTGTGGTGATACAGCTCCACAACTGAATTATGGGCATTACTAGTCAAAATTAGTGACATTTTTCCTTTTCAAGCTGGACTGAAGGGGGAAGGAAGATGTTTGTGGTACAGACGTGATGCAGCACTGTTGCTGCTTTTAATGGCCTGTGTGTTTTGCCAGCTTTTCCTTCACTTGTTCCATGCTACACAGGCATGTCACCTGAAGGGATATGAATATATATAAATGTATAACTTTTATATATGTTGCTCTGAGATCTCCTTTCTATCCTTGGCTGAAATTAGGATAAGGAGTCCTGTTCCTGTGTTGGATTGATGAGGGTATCATGAAATACCTCAAACCATCAGTCTCTGTTGGTTGCTGTTTTCCTTCCTGCAGGAGTGAGCGTTGGCCTGTTCCCTTCAAAATAGGGAATCCCAGTTACAATTCTTTCTGTTTCTTCTCTGAATTTCCTCCATGCGAGCCCTGGGCAGCAGGGGTGGCTGTGTGACTGCATGAGTGATGAGAAAGTATCTAAGGCATGAGAATACAGCTCAGTGCAAGCAGATTTCTGTATACAAGTCTTGCATTTTTAGCAGCTTTATTGCCGGAGTGAGAGCCTTGCTCCCCTCCTTTTCCCTCTCCCTGTATTTCCATTCAAACTCATTTATGCCTCTCTAGTTGGGTGGATAATGATAATCCTACATAACGTCTTCATTTTCTTGTTAAATCTTCTCCGTCTTATAGATGCAGACAGCTCAAAGCTGCTTGCATCTCATTCCCCCAAACTTAGGAAAATAGTGAATAATAGGAATGTAATTTTAAAATAATATATCTTTGTTTTCCTTGTATCTTAAGCCCTCAAATCAAGAAGAGCTTTCTCTGTTCTTTTTTAACTAATCTGCAGTTGGTTAGTTGCTGTTTTATGTGTTGATGACACTGGCTGTTGTAAACCATAAATTCTGAGTTTTGCTTTTCCTCCAAATTATAAACTTGCCAGCTTTTCTATTGATTTTTTTTTCCAGAGTCTGTGCCAGTGCTGTTACTAAGTTAGACTAAGTCTTAGGCATTTAGCTGACAGTGCTTGACTATATATTTTGCATTATTTTAAGTAGAACATTGAATCTGTCATAAAAATGTAAGTTTGAGATAATCAAGAAGGAACAATAATAGCACATTGAATAAAATGTAATTTACTAGCGAATTCTGAAAGATTGGGAAAACAGATGCAGTTATAGTAATTTTGTTTATTTTTTGTTAAATCTTGGAGTTTAAAATTGAATCCAGTCTGCTTTGGTTAGCAAGCAGGACTTTTGCCAGTTTGACCTGCTAACCATCTGGTTGGTTTGATTCCCCTGGTCAAATAGCCTGCAGCTGGTGATAAGCTGCAGTACAGTATGCATTATGAGAATATGGCATGGAGTCAAATAATGTGTGAGGTATAATTTTGTCCACCAACTTAGAGAATTTGTATTTGTTGGCTTTGTTTTGTTAAATCTTCGAGTTGTTGACTGTTATTGCTTCAACCTCTGATTTTTATTTTTTTTTTCCTCCCTTGTGCCATAGTTCTCAAGGTGTCACAGTCAGCCTCAATGCTACATCTGGCATGCTTACACCATACGATCTCTCAGAGACCATTAACGATCCATCAATAGAACATGAGTCTGAGTATGACCAAGGAGATGATGAAATTGTTTATGGCAAATCTGAAGCACCTGAAGTGTATGCTTCAGAGTATGCAGAGGAAGGACATTATGAAGGCAATGATCATGAACTGACAGAAGACCAAATAGACTATGGGGAAGAGCCTGGAGAAGAAGATGAAGTGCTAGACCTTGAAATCAATGAACCCCTAGATGAATTTCCAGTGAGTTTCTTTCTATTGTATCTTCAAAGATAACATTGCTTCACATGCATAGGGTTTTAGACTGATTTGAAATCTGTTTACCTCCCTAGGGAGGAGGGGAAATTAGACCTATTATCACTGTCTGCCAGTTTCTTTATCTAGGCTGTGACAAAGTTTATGTTGACAGCTTGTTTGGCGGTAGGTAATGCTCCTTTGTCATGCTGGAAGGCAGTTGAGAATCATGACCTTGAGGATTGTATCCTTAAGGAAGAAAACAGCTTTGTGTGGTGGAGATACACTGCCAATTGTTAGAAGTACTTAATGCAAAAGCTTTTATCCAGGCTTTAGACAAGATCTGATAAAGTCCTTCGAAGGTGAAAAGATTATTGACCTGCTAAAGACATCTTTAAGGTGCTAATATCCCAAAGTGATTGATGTCCTGCTCGTTCATCCTTTTTGTAACTGAGAACTGTCTAAACCTGAATAAAGAGATTGGAGGTTAGTTCAGAAAATGTCGCCTGCATAATTCAATATAATTTAAGCAGTGTATTACAGAACATGTTCTGGCTTTAATTGCTAGTGAAATGGTTTAATCTTAATTAAAATTGTATGTGGACAGTAAGGTGTTTTAAAATACATGCAGACTTAGGAAAGATTTTGCTCTCATTTTATGTTCATAATTGTTCAGAATTGGACCTGTTCATATGTAAACACTTGCAGAATGTTTTAAGAATGGTTATATTTTGATGGAGTCAAATCTCATGTTAATGTATATATGCTACAGAAGTGTATTTCCTCTGGTGAGAAAGTATTGCAGTGTTTGCTTCACAAATTTGTCATCTGATGTAGAACTACAGAAGTGGATAAGGCAAACAGTAGTTGATGGGATCTTTATAACAACATTGCTAGGATCTGAATGAAAACTGTTTTGATTATGTTTTTTGATAATATTGACATTATTGTCTAGTTAAAAGCCCTGCTAATTGACAGTTCTGCTAGATACAATACTTCTCTTACAGTTTGGAAACAGTAACAGTGCATACAGACCTCATTTCTTAACAGGTTTGCAATTCTGTAAAGTTGGCTTATGTCTTTTCACCTTCTTGTGTTACTGCCTTAGGATGAAGATTACATGCAATCATATAATGAGCAAGCGATGGAAGAACAAGAAGAATATCCAGCTGATGAGGAGCTGGAAGAATCCCAGGCAATGACAAATGAATCAGAAGAGGTATGTTGTGAATTTAACAGAAACTTAAAATAACTAGTTGTATCAGAATTTGAATTTGTAGAATTGTCCATAATGCTGAGTAAGAACTGATGCAACTTTGCCAGTGTTGAATTATTGGTGGTATTACTCTTTGTATGAGATGAATTGTGATAGCTCAAGTATTGTCTGATACATCACATCCTCTCTGCCCTTTGGGATGAAAATCATAAGGGAAAGCTCAAAATGCCCATATTTAATGTTAACTTCAACATTAGGAACTTCAGGGGCCCTTTTGGATTGGAGAATGATAGTAATACTGCATGCTGTCTGTTACATCTCCAATAGCTACGGTACCTCACTTTCCAGATGGATAACTTGCTGCTGTTGGGAGTGAGGTAATGTTCTTGGGTATCCCACTTTGAGGAGGAGTCTGAGCAGGTGTGAGGTTCTGTATGTTAGAAAGGCAAAGGTCAGATTGATTGTTGTTTTGAAATAAGTTATTTTGGGACTGAAATTTCTGTGAAGGTTATTGTAATTTTGTAATTAGGAAAAAGGATGAGTTCCTTTTGCAAGAAGAAAGCTTATGCCAGAAACTGTCGAGTATGTATTCACTGGTTACAGCCTGGAACAGTGGTATCATACCTGTTACTAATTTGAAGCAAGTTCTTGATGTGGGATTTTTTTCCTTTCCCCAACAGGAATCTGATTAATATGACTTTTATTCCACTTCTTAATTAAATAGGATTGAATGGATTACCTGCTGAGAAGTGTAGTCAGAGTGTGTTCCCTTTTGGAGCTTTAACTCATCAGGAAATTAATTCCTCAAAGACACAGCAACGTTATTCTATGAAGTTCCAACAAACGGGTGTGCTGTGATACTCTAGTTGTATCAAATTCATTATAATAAAAAAAACATTCTTTGCTGGGGGAAGAGAGATCCATTGAAAGGGGCCACCTACTTTGTTCAATCTCCACAGTTACAAGTATGACATCTTATGCCAAGTACTCCTTAATGTAGTTAATTTCCTATTTCCCAAGTATTAAATCTGCCCTTCTAAAGAACTGTGAAACACTTAAACACTGTTTATTCATTCACTGGATTATATTCACTTTTTCCTTCTGCTGTTTAAAAAGTAGATTGATGCATTTGTGCTATCTGCAGCCATGGTCTGTATGAGACAATGAAAGCACTGCACATCGAGTAAAATTAACTATGTAGCTGGGATTTGCTGTCAAATTTACTGCTTTAAAAGAAGTACTGCCCCCTTTTCAGAGTATGAACTTGTGAGAATTCTGTACTAATCATGTTGTCTAAATTTATCCAACTCAGAACTAATTCCCTTTCATTTAAGAGATAACACTAAAACAAGTTTTTAATAGATTTCGTTAATAGAGCTTCTAGATAATTTGTTCATTGTGTAACATGAATGTTTTTTCCACATCTTTATTCAGGTAATCTACATTCTAGTTTTATTTTGTTGGCTTGCAGATTGCCACAGGTTGCTTGTTTCCAAAATTGTACCATCTTTTTAGTCCTTTATTGCTTCATATGTAGCTTATTTACATTGGTCAATGGGCTCACAATTGCACTCTCCAAATGAGAATACCATCAAGAGAGAGAACCTTTGTAGGGTATCCAGTTATTTCTTACATGGTTGAATGCATGCCTCCAGCTCTGAATAGTTCTTTATTTGAGTGTTACATAACAGCACTCCTCCTTAAATCTCTACGTTCACTGCTTGTAAACAAGGTAGTTGTTGGGATTCCCCTATAGAAAATGAAACACAAGATTGGAACTGTAATAGATGCAGTATAAATAATTAGCATTATTTCTTGATTGAAATTTGGCATCTGAGTAACTAAGAGCGAGCTGATAAAGTGTTTCCTAGTGTCATTTTTTAAGTGGTTTCAACATTAAAACCAAATAAAGCCTCTTATATTTCATGAAGGAATTTTGTAAAAGAACAGAGAAGCTGACTGGCTGGGGGGAACTGGAACATGATGAGGGGAAACTGGTGAATAAGGGAAGTGAGAGACCTGTTAAGAGTGTTACTTAGGTGGGAGGTGTGAGGAAGAGACAGGAAAAGTTTGTCCCCTTGGCTAGATCATGTTCAAGGCATTCTTATTCACATGATATTTAATTTGAAACAGTGCTTAGAACTTGGTTTTGGAGTAAATAGCACTCTTTGTGTAGCTTCCTTGGAAAATGTAGCAGTGCTGCAGAATATATTTTTGCGTTTCTAAGGCACAAAGCAAATCCCAGTACCCAGAACTCTCAGCAGCCAGCAGGTGTGGTGAAACAGTCAGTTACATGAGTTACCATGTCCTAAATATTTTTAGAGGAATAATATCACTAATTATTTCTGTGAAATGTTCATAAAAATGTAACCACCTGAAATTAGAATTCATAATTTCTGTTTTATATTAGAACTAATCACCTGTGAAGTCTATGATAGGGGGTTTCTCATTGCATAAATTTAAACCATGTCTTGGGTTATGCTGATGAGAAATGATGAGGATTTTAATCAGGAAAACTTTTCCTGAAGAAGTGCTGCATACTGCTTTTCTTTTGATTGAGTACGAACTTGGAAAAAAAAAAGCCAATGTGTCTCTTGAGTTGTTCCTTCTGTATTCAGCCCAAACATATTTAGAAGCTCTTAGGTTTGTTTTTTATTCTCATTTGTTGTCTGTGAAGTGGAGGTGCTCTTGGAATAGGTGTAACGTCATCTTAACTGATCTCTGTTATTTCTTGATCCCTTAGGATTGAGCAATTGCTGCTGCTTCAGTGTTAGCCTCTTGTAGAGGCCTCTACTGCTTATTTTTTAGCTAGTTTATAACAGTTCTTTGCTTCACCTTCGTAATGTCTCATGTGGAAGAAATCTGGTTTAACCTCTACGGTGCTTACCCGTTTTGTACATCGTAGCAATCCCTGACACAAAGCTCTCCAGAACACTTGACAGTCCCATGTTTAGGAAGATCTTGTGCTAAGATCAGCATTTATCATGCTGACTAGTGTTTTCTCCTACTTTCCTTGGGCTATGTCTGTTATCAGTCCTGCAACTGCCTGGTAAACCGTTCGGGGCAGGAGCACTCAGTCTTTCTCTGCAGCAGATCATAACCCAGCGTGGGGAGTTCTGGTCCGTGGCTGGGTTTTATGGCATAGTTATTTAGTGAGGATGGCAGAAAACTCTGACCTTGTGATAGAAGAAAAGACATTATTTTTCTTCATAAGGAAGAGGCAGCAAAGCTGTTTGGTAGCTTTGTGCAAGGTGTCATAATGGGAAATGTTAAATTCCCTTTGAGAAGAGCTGCTAAGAAGCCTTGGCTGGCTTGGCTAGTCCAGTCCGATGACCTCAAGTGGCTGTTCAAGGACTGTTTTATGTATATGCAGAGTTATTAATGATTAGCAAGTATTAGAGTCCTGTTAGTATTAGTAAGTATTAATTCTATGTCTGCACTTGTTGTTACATGCATAAATTTTTTTTTTGAAACATAGAATCCATTCATATACTTTAATCTTGTCAACACAACTCATGCTGTTAGGCTGGAAGTTGTAGAATAGGATCTAAAGAAGCCTTGCATGCTACAACTCTTGAACAAATTGCGGGGAAAGGTTGTATGCTCCTACACAGCTCAGATAACCTTTCCTGGAGCTATATGTAGAGAACATATGGTTGGCTGTCAGACATGTTTGTGTCTCCATCGCAACTAATATAAATCCCTCAATAATACCTGTAATCAGGCTTGGACATGGGTCAGTTAGCATTCTCAAGCACTGCCTTTCCTTGGTGCCTGCTTTTTCAATTGCTCCCTTGATTTTTTTTTTTCCTTTGGTATTTGACACTTGTATGGCTGTTGTTTGTTAATAGGTGGCATTAAACATTATGCTGATGAATAAATTGAGTTAGACCCAGAAGACTACAGAATTGGTATAAGTGGCTAAAAGTAGAACAGTGCTGGTCTAGAAGAGTTTGAGAAATGTGGGGGTTTTTTGTTGCGTAGGAAAGTAGTTGTCTTGTAGTCTGTTACAACTTGCTGTTTTTTTTAGAATGGATATATTTTTTCCCAGAATTAATAATTATCAAAAGGCATCAGTGTTTCCACAGGTATTTTCTGTAGGATTTCTTTAGAGCAGATTGCATCAACCATTTTAGACCTGATTCTGCAGTCTGAGCTTTTTACAAGTAAGTTTTGCACTTGCAGATGAGATTACATGACTGAGACCAGTCTTTGATGAATAAAAACTGGAATTCCAACGTAGCTTTTAAGGAGCATGGGCAAAGACAGTGAATGTGTCTGGAGTTTATGCTTTAAAGTAAAACAGGAGGCTCAGTGTAGAGAGAGAGCACATCTTGCAAAACAGCCGTTCCAGTTCTGACTTCCAAATCCTGATCCTGAAGGGAAAGTTTTTAAGGACTAGCATTGAGACAGTAAAATTATGGTCTTTATGATATTTAGAAACACAGATTTGATAAGAGATAGTGCTACTCCTTTCTCTTTTGGGAGTCTCTCTTCTGAAAGTAAAATGCTAACCCTGTCTTTCTCTCTTGTTTTTGTTTGTTTTTATTAAACCACCTTGCTAACATCCCTCCTCTGTTCCATGAGTTTCAACTGCGTGTCCTCAGAGGTGCTTTGATTTATCCATGGATATGTTAATCAGACCAGTTTTGCTCAGTTTGGGTTTGCTTTTGAGATCTGGATCTCTTTGTTTTTCAAGGATTTTTTTTTTGCCTGCTGTCTTGTATTTTGTTTTAGACGCATTCTTTTATATGATAAAGTTGTTATATAAAAGTAAATAGCTTTTTAAAATATAAGCCTTAAAGCTTTTTTGTAAACTTTGGCTATTCTCTTAGCTATATCTTTAAAGCATTTTTATGAGGTCAGGAAATTTAGTGCTTGAATGTTTGCCTGGAATGGATAAAACACATTCTGAGATGAGATGTTAAAATGAAAATAACTTGCAATCAGTAGCCCATTAAAGCAGAGTATCTAAGAGCTTGAGCTCATATGGTGTGCTGTCTTTTAAAGTATCACGGAACAGTAGGGGGTTGGAAGGGACCTCGAAAGATCACCCAGTCCAACCCCCCTGCAAGAGCAGGATCACCCAGACCGGGTCACACAGGAACACGTCCAGGCAGGTTTTGAATGTCTGCAGAGAAGGAGACTCCACAACCTCTCCAGGCAGCCTGGTCCAGTGCTCTGGTATCCTCACAGTAAAGAAGTTTTTCCTTATGTTTAAGTTGAACCTCCTGTCTTCCAGTTTGTGACCATTGCCCCTTGTCCTGTTGCTGGGCACAACCAAGAAGAGTCTGGTCCCATCCTCTTGACACCCACCCTTTAAATACTTATGAGCATTAATGAGATTCCCCCCCTCAATCTCCTCTTCTCCAGGCTAAACAGAATCACCTCTCTCAGCCTTTCCTCATATGGGAGATGCTTCAGTCCCCTCATCATCTTAGTGGCCGAACTCCAATTGTTCCTTGACCTTCTTGAACTGGGGAGCCCAGAATTGGATGCAGTATTGCAGATGTGGCCTCATCAGGGCAGAGTACAGCCTGGTACAGGCTTATCAGTACAAGGTCCAGCAGCACTTCTCTCCTTGTTGGCTCCCCCACCACCTGTGTCAAGAAGTTATCATCAGTGCACTGCAGGAACCTCCTGGACTGTGTGTGCTTGACTGTGTAGACTTCCTAGCAAATGTCGGGGTCATTGAAATCTCTGACGAGAACCAGAGCCTGTGATTGTGACGCTACTTTCAGCTGCCTGTAGAAGACCTCATCAACTTCCTCATGAGCAGGGGTCCTGTAATAGACAGCCATGACAGTGGCTGCCATATTAGCCTGCCCCATAATTCTTACCCACAGGCTCTCAATGCCCTCTTCATCTGCCCCTGGGAAGAGCTCGATACATTCTAGTTGCTTTCTCACATAAAGAGCAACTCTACCACCATGTCTGGTGGTCCAGTCTTTCCTAAAAGGACGCAGCCATCCCTGGCAGCATTCCAGTCACGTGAACTATCCCATCATGTCTCTATAACTGCAGTCAAATCATAACCCTTCCACTGTACCCAGATCTCTTAATTCCTCCTGTTTATTCTCTATGCTGTGTGCGTTGGTATCCAGGCATTTTAGAGAAGGAGTTCAGCACACAGCTGTTGCCCTAGAAGGGTAGAATGCTTCTGCGTATCATCTTGGCAGGGAGCTGAGAAACCTTTGTTCTTGCTCTGATTGGCCAAGATTATTCCTCAGCTGGATGTAGTGGTTTGAGTGTGGCCATTTTGACCTCCATCCCCCAGGTTCTTCAGTTTAAAAAGATCCCCTTGCCCCTTCTTGACAGATGGATCCCATTCCTCCCCATCAGGTTATGGTCAGAGAAGAATGTCCCATAGTTGTGAAACCCACGAGGTTGATGTGTTTTACGTGCCTATTTCTGACTGCCTCCGTGCCTCCAACTGCTAAAATAGAGGAAAACTAGAAGCTGTCTGCCAGGTCCTGTCTGATCTTGCTTTCCATGATTCTTTTTGGTATTAGATGAAGTTGGGCTCTTGGATAAGGAAATGTAAAATTTCCTGTACCATTCTGACTGATTTCCTGCACTATTCTTTCTTGATTTGTGACTTAGAATCTGTCCACCTGACGGACACACTTGCTGTATCTTTTTCATATAAATTACTGTACCAGTCTGCATAGTCAGAAGATTAAACCGTTTCTGGATGTTATATTTCACTCACTTTTAACTGTCCTCAAATATCATAACAGTTATGATGTATTTAGTGGCTTTGTAAAGAATTAAAATGCATGTGCAGGCTCTAAGAAATGAGCAAGTAGGCTTGTACAAGAAATAACCAAATACGCAGTAACGAAATATTTCACGGAATATCATACTGTATTAGAACACTTCTAATTTTCAGCTCTAGAAATCAAATATAACTTGTGTAACATTCTGAACATTAATTTTATCATGCCAGCACAGGAAAAGGAATTGATTTCCCCCCCCCTTTTTTTTTATAATTCGAAGAAGAGAGATCCATTTTCATTTGGGACATTGTTTCATCTAAATATATGTTTTCTGTTAAAACTGAAAGTAAATGAGAACAAGAGAGTAGCATTCCAGTGTACAAATCTAGTATGTTATAATTTTATCCAATCCTGTTTGCCATTCTCTTTATCAGTTGCTGAATTAAAACTGGGAAATATTAAAGGAATAGAAAAAGTAAAGACAAGTACTGTTTTAAATACCTAGAGGAATAAAATTGAGATGTAAGGTTGTCTGGTTTTTGTTGTGTTGCTTTTTGGTTGTTTTTTTAACAACATGCTACTGATAGTTGTTAACAAATGAAAAAAAATTTAACAATTTAATGTCTGTATTACTTGAATCTGGTAGTATCCCAGCTTTGCATCTTAGTCAATTTAGTGATAAAATGTCACTGTCTGCAAAAGTAGCTACTGATCAGGTGATGGTTCAAACAGGAGTTTCCATATTCCCTTAAAGATTGCAGCAAATTGGGTTTTCTCGATAGATTTTACTACATAACTTATTACATATGTCATGTCCTTACATTTTTTAAAAAAACAGCAAGCTTTTAAATGTTCGTTGAGTTATATATGAGAATAATGTTTAATGCCAGCAAAATTTGTACAAAGGGACCTTTAAAGAATGCTTCGTCTTTTGGCACTCCCTGATGATAAGAAAGTAGATGTTTCAGTTTGTGCTCTGTATTTTGTGATTCAGGCAGCTATTGAATCTCTGGAACTTCATGAAGAAACAAAAGAAGAATCTGATGAAGAGGAGGATGACGATGAAGAGTCTGGACGATTACGTTTCAAAACTGAACGGAAAGAAGGAACGATAATTAGGCTTTCAGATGTGACAAGAGAAAGGAGAAACATTCCAGAAACTTTGGGTGAGGTTTTGTGGCAATGACCTGTTTTGAAGAGCTATAGTAATACTAGAAACTAAAAGTCAGGTTTGCCAGAGTTTAATGGCAAAAGATAGAATAATTGCCTTCTAACTTAGACTTATCCAAGTTGTCCAAAATCATTTGTAGTCTGTTGTAGTACGTGTAGTGTCTGTCTCCTTGGGAATAATGTTTAAGCCTATCGTGTTTTGAAAACCAGCACAGTGTTTGTTCACTGAGACTTTTGTGGTGTCTTCAAAAGCTTTCTTGTTTCCAGGCAGCAGGTACCTGATCTGTGCTTCACTGCATATTGAGGTGGAATACAATTTAAGGAATTCCTTCAGACTTTCATCCTTGGAAGATTTTCAGTCTATAACACAAATCTTGTGTTCTGCTGTGAAATGCCTGCATGTTTGCTGTTTTCCTCCAGGACCTGCTATGAACCTGTTGTGTTCATACTATTGGATTGGCCTGAAGAAGGCTGTAACTTGCTGGTTATTGTGATAGAAAAATATGGAAAACCCTGGGGTTTTTTGGGTTCACCTTTTCTAACGTGGAACAATCTGGATCTTTTATACCACCTCGGTTCTTTAGGCAGTGTTTAGAAGGGTGTGTTTTCTTTGTATTTGAGTAGCATACACAAGTGTGTTTGTTTCTAGGAAGACTGCTCCATGTAGCTACTGAATTTGCCACTGCTAGTTCAGAAGAAGCAGTAGATCTGCAACTTTCTTCCAGCTGCTCTGTTTTAGTCTATAAATAAAATCCCATTAGATTGTGGTTTTGAGAGTTAACTTCAAGACCCCTTGTGTGCCCTGGATACTCAAGTATATGATACTAATGTTTTTAAAACTCTCTGGCGTGTACCTGGCTTTATAGTGGTGGTAATAATAATAAATAATATAAATCAAATTAAAAAGGTGATATTAGGGAGATGGGCAGAAATTAAGTTTTGCTTTCAGAAAGCTTTGCTACTGAACCAAAATTCAAACTATGGAGAAAAAGCCCTGATCTTTTGAAGAGAATTGATATATGCAGGAGAGGTGAACTGGTAATGAAAGCAGATTGTCAGATAGTGTTGGCTAATTGTCAGGTACCACTGGGAAAAGATGTATTTTTTTATGACACTTCAAGTTTTGCCAGATTGTGGGGATGAATTCTTCACATGGGATTGCTTTAAGATGGATGCCACACAACGTGAACTTGGTAGCTGGGAGCTTCTGTTTTCTTTCCAGATGAGTCGGTGTCTTTGGGATTAGAGGGCATTTTGGAATTATGTTCCCAGAGCACATACATAGACTGCCGGAACTTGTCCTGATGAAATTTCCCTCTTGCCTTGCAAAGGATGTTAATTCTAAGGACTTTTCTTCTCTGGAGACATTCAAAACCCGCCTGGACGCCTTCCTGTGTAACGTCATCTAGGTGTTCCTGCTCCGGCAGGGGGATTGGACTGGATGATCTTTTGAGGTCCCTTCCAATCCCTAACGTTCTGTGATTCTGTGAGTTGCATAGCCTACTAATACTTCATTTGGATGCAAGGAATTTGTGTTTTAACTGTGCATGGACAAATTGAGAAGCCGTAATTTTCTGACAAAGGTGTGGCTGAGAGGGCCTGTTCGTGAGCAGCGAGGAGTTGGCTGCAGAGACCAGGCTTTCACAGTGGTATTCATGTAGGCCATGTCGTGCTGTGAGAGAGAAGTTGGTGCTTGATTCTGATTCAAGATCTTTATAATCTCTTTGTATTTACCAAATAGCTGCTCTTACTTGTAATTTCAAGCAAAGGGTGCATTAAGGACCTTTATTCCGCATTGTTTTAGTAATCAGAAATTGATTTTGAGTAGAATAAGACTGAAAGGAACCCTCTAGAGGCACAGGATAATCAAAATGGACAAGGGATATTTTAGCCAAGGTGCATTTCAAGTGTGTTTTCAACTGTAAGACCATATTTCTGCATACCATATACAGGCTATCTCTTATTTATACAAAAGGTTGCTGGTGGCTTTCCAAAACAGAGTATTTTAAAAATTGGTGCACCAGAATAGCTAAATCTCTTTACATAATTGCAAGGTAAATGACGTTTGCATGCACTTCCATGTATCTGTGGATTTACTCTGTAGTTTAATGTGAAGACAAGACCAGCCAATGAAGAGAGAACCTGTAGTGGAGCTTTACTGTTAAAGGAACAGTGATTCGAATTAGACTTATTTTTAAGTCTAATTTTAAGTGATCTGAGATGTAGCTCTGACATAAAAGGAAGGGGTGATGCAAATGTGAATGAATCTATAAACTAAAGGGCTTTTTCTGAAACTAGTCTTCAGCAAAAATACAGTCTTGCTGTTGTGAAATGGTTTCTATTCATACTAGTTTTTCATGTTAATTTGTTCATAAAGAGACCAAAAGATTGTGTGGCAGAAAGTTAAACAGCAAAAAATATTTGTTTGCTTATAAATATCTGCTTGCTTTTGAGATTATAGAACAAATTATTGTACATGCTACTGGTTTAAAAATTAAACTTCATTGCAGAGCTACATCTCCTTACTTTAAAATCTGAACATAGTTGAGAAAACACTGAAAGAGGAATTAACATTTCAGTTGAAGTTACAAACGTAATTTCCATCCTGTCACATTTTGGTGACCTTTTGTGACAGCTTGTCTCTATTGGAGGAGTGCATTCTTACTTGCCGATTAAAGATGTCATTTGAAACCATTTTATTACCAGCAATAGTGAAATTAATCTTGACACTTAGAAACAATACAAAAATAATTGCTGATTCACTGCATTAACTGTGTGTGTGAACTGTATGGTTAAGATGAGAATAAGTGTGTGCTTATAAAAATATGTAAAAATGTAGAGTATTCTCATGAATGTAGCTAAGATCTTTCCTAGATATTTCTTTGTCCAAGATAATGTAAGCAGTAGTTTTGAAAAGTTTAAAGGAGAGGTAATAATTTAATGAAATATATCAAGGGAAAGT